GAGGATTTTTAAAGTATTTTGAGAGTTAGCAATATGTTGTGATTGAGATAATAGATTGCTAACTGGAGAATCTACAAAGGTGCGGAGGCTGAAGATAATCAAAACCCTGGCAAGTCCCAGAGGGGGTTACAATATCATAACAACAGCTTGGATGAAGCATGCTGCATATCAACTGCTGCCAGTTGAGCAAGTTTTTTTTGCAGTGAGTGTATTTTTATGGGGAAAGGTACTTCCTTAAATCTCTTGCGCCAGAATCTGGCAAGAAAGCCTGGTAGGAGACTTTGGTGAGTGAGGGGAAATAGCAGGAGGAGAGCCTCCTCATATCAATAAAGATGAGGAATTTAAGGAGACCACAATGTGCCTCTGAGCCATTTTCAAGAAAAAGACACACACACACTGCTCCTTGAGAAACCACCACACCATGCACCCTAAGCACAACACCTGCATGTAAAATGTAATATGTATTATTCTTGTAGTGAATGAGGACTTTTCAGTTTGAAAGGTTTTTTTCTCTCACAGGAGCAGCAGGAGACATTAATAACTGCAGGCTTTTCCTTAATCCCTTGAAAAACTTGTAACTCTGTATCCAAAAGCTTATTTTTGTGCATCACATCGACAAGCCTGGTATTGAGAAATAAATGGCCTTAGTTGCAAAAAGCTCCAGATAGTGAGAAGTCCTGGATTGAAATGCCAACTTTGTAGTTTTACAAAAAGATGGAATGTTGATGGCATTTCTCCCTTCAATTTCTTGGGTTAAATTTTCTATAAGTATGAATCTGATAACTAGCGCGTAGCCAGGGGAAACTGGAGAGAGTAGTGGGGAATATCTGGAGAATCCAACAGTTTTACGTTACATAGTTTGATACTATTCTCATTGCCTTTGTAGCTAGTACAGAAGAGGAGGAGAAGGATTATTTGGATGCCCGAGCGTTGGTTTGGCTGCTAGCAACAGTGTGTCGCCCAAATTCTGATTGCGTCATTCCAGTCATCGGTCGCCAATTCTTACCAAAATCCGTAAGAGAGTGGGTATTGACATCATCCGAGCAACTTATTCCAGCAAATACCTGCATCTCCACCCCCAAACCTCCCAGTTGGCTCATCTCCATTCGTAGCTGAGACTGGGTCCATCTGTCACCGGTACATACTCACAGTAAGTCAAGCTCTTTGCTTCCGGTCAGATTTGAAGATATCTCTCTTGAAAGCTCTCTTGCTATTTTGGGATTGTACGGATAATCACAGAGCAGCAAGTTTACTGAGCTGTTTCAGAAGCTCACTTAACAGATCACCGCACTGGACGAGGGTGTTTAGCAACGAGATGATCGGTAATCGAGCCCTCA